TCCCGCGGGAATCTTTTGGAAATGGCTGGAAGCATCAAAGGTAAGATCTTGCCCCCCTCCCGGGGGTGGAGTGGAAATGGGGGGGGGTGTCACTGTCCTGGGTGGAGGGACAGGCTGTGATTGTTCCGGAACCCGAACTAAGATGCTTTGTAGTTCGGTCCAGACGGCATAAACTCAACGAGAAAATGGTCGTAAAACAAATATGTATTCCAAGGAATTCTTAGCAGAACTGACTTTCTGGAGATGCGTCCGGATGTGTACACTTGTCCATTTTACGTAGGCAAAAACAGTCATTCCTTCATATCAGCTTTAGCGTGGTTGTAGACCATATCCCTCCGTGCATCCCCATGCTGGTTTTACACAAAGACATGCCTTTACCCAGACACGTAACAGGATGTCCTGCCATAACTTTGAAACTCCTCCCACTTAACTGGATAATTATAGGGTTCATTGAACAGCTAAACTACATTACTCATAAGCCATCTCTTAAGGAGACAGCGCTTAACCCTTGAAATGCCAAACATTCTAACACACAGTTCTCAGCTAATTGGTTGGTCCAGCACAGGGATGATGGCTGTACGCTGATGACCGGATCCCCTTTTGTGTCTCCTCTCCCCTTTGTGTTGCAGGGCCCGAACGGAGGATCGTCCTGGTGGGCAAAACCGGCAACGGGAAAAGCGCGACGGGAAACACCATCCTAGGAGCCGACATCTTTGAGTTTGGGATGTCCTCTAAGTCGGTAACGCTGACTTGCCAGAAAGAGGAGACCTGGTCGAAAGGCCGGAAGATTGTGGTGGTCGACACGCCGGGCTTTTTCGACACCAAGGTCCCCACATGGGTAACGGCTGCTGAAGTGAAGAAGTGCGTGAGCATGTGCGTCCCGGGCCCGCACGTCATTCTGCAGGTGATGCGTCCAGGCCGTTTCTCCCAGGAGGAGAAAGATGTGGCCAAGCTGATCACTGAGATCTTCAGCTTGAACGCCAAGAATTACATGATCACCTTGTTCACCCGGAAAGATGACCTGGAAGGGCAATCCTTGGAGGACTTCCTCTCCAAGGGAGACCGGGCGCTTCAGGTACAGATGGCCCAGTGTGGGAACCGCTACCTGGCTTTCAACAACAAGGCCAAAGGCGAAGAACAGGAGAAACAGATGGCCAAATTGATGACCATGATTGATGAGCTGGTGCAGAAGAACAAAGGTGCAAATTATTACTCGGAGGCCATGATGAAGAAAGACGAAGAGCAGTATAAAGGGAGAAATGTCCCCTGGTGTTCTCTTCTCTAACGGACACTGGAAGACATGCCGAAGGCAGACATAAACGACTTCAAAGAGATATATGGCTTCTCCTGATGGTCTTTTCTCTAATGCAATGGTCCCCAACTCCCGGTCTGTGGACCGGTACCAGACCGGGGCATGCCAGCAACCGGTCTGCAAAAAAAACAAGCAAAGCCCCATCGGTGGGATGCAGGCAGCATACAAAACCACGTACTCTCCAGTCCGCGGAAAAATGTCTCTCCACATAACTGGTCCCTGGTGCCCAAAAGATTGGGGACCTCTGCTCTAACGGACACCGGAAAGCCTCTTTACTTGATCCTCTGCTCCGAGGGGGCCGCTCTGCCCTGCGTTTCCCCCCTTCTGCGCAGAGTTCTAATCCAGCTCTTTCCGGGAGAGGCGCCGAAGAACCCGAGTCCGAGATTCGTGGCGGAGTCACCCTGAGCCGATTCCTTCTGCTGAGAACTCAGTTTCTCCCCTCGGACGACAGGGCCCGGGAAGATCCTGCCCTCAATCGGCCCCACAGCCTATATCTCCACCATCCTGAACCCAGGTCCCTCCGGAATGACACTTCGTTTGGGGCTTCCCACCCATCAGTCCTTCAAGGTAGACCAGACCAGGAAACCGCCATCACAAGAAATATTAAAGCTCGGATTGATTCGATATAGAGAATACCAGGTGTATCCTGAAAGTGTCTCCCCTTCGCTCCCGCTGACACCAAAGCACATCAAGACGATGGAGCCTTGAGCTTCTTTCTCACCCCTTCCTGTTTTCCTGGGGTGAAGTCATGTTTTCCTAACCGCTGCCACGTATTTTCTTTGGGACTTCCCCATCTGTCAATCCTTTGAGGTAG